AGAACTCAATCATACTTGTTCTCTAACAAATCCTAACATATTATGTTCATCGCTTTTCTCATGCATAACCAGTGAAGTGTACCAACAATATTTGCATGTTATAGAACCAAATACAATGGATCAGATTTGTTTTAGAGAGGTAATTTACAATGGAGTTGGTTTGGAAAGTTGAAGAAGTATGTTTTTAGATAGAGATTTAATTGTAAAAGATACAAAAGTTTCTTCAAATATTCAAGATTCCTCTCTTAGAATTTTGGTAAAGTTGTTATCCAATTAAATATGAATTAGTAGATTTTGAATTATATAAAAGGTGTCCAATTATTGGTTGCCATATACGTTGGGTAGTAGGAATTCCTGCATTCTGGATTTGAGAAAAACTTTGTCCATATAACTATGTTCTCTCACTAATTTTTTTCATTGCTAAAAGTACACCTGTGTGACTTGCATTTGTAAAACAAATAAATAAACCATTAATGTAGATGAGGTGCACAAATTATGCTGATTTCTTTTTATTTATTTATTTTTTGGTTTTTTTCTTTTCTGTTTTTTTTAGTAGTTATTTTGGAGTTCTCACATTAGTTGAGCAAAGTTCATTTACATTAGGACGGTCCTTTAGAACAAGCTATATGCACTGATGGGGAGATCTACCTGGCCATGTGTTGAGAATCACATGTATTGAGAAATCACCAGAGGCGTGTCAGTGTGTGTCATTTTCATCTTTATTAAAGACATATCAATAGCAAGTTACATATATGTAAGAAGCAAAAAAGCTAATGTAACTTTTTCTTCATATTCTTTTTAATTATTAATCAATTATCTCATTTATATGTTATTGGATCTAGAAAGTGAATTTGCATATCATTTTCTATGCATGAAACCGAGGAAATTCTTTTATTCATTTCCAAGTAAAGCATGAAAATTGTTGTGAAATTGTCTTTTACTTTCTAGTGTTTGGTACAACGAAAAATAAATTTATTTGAACAAAATATATTTTTTACATTTAAAGGTATAAAATATTTGTTTAGATTAAAGTCCTATTAATACACCATACCACCGACCCACCATCACTGCCATCACTACTATTGTCACCGCCACCTCTACTGCTGCTGCCACCACCACTAACACCACCCCAATCACCATCATCACTGTAAAATAAATTGATAGAGAGAGAATAAATTGTATGTATTATAATTGATTGTATTATTGAGTTGTGTTCAATATGTTTACAATGATTCCTATATATAGAAGAGTAGAGTAGGTAGGTGTATAGTAGGTGGTAGTAGGTGGTAGTGGTAGGTGTGTAGTAGGTGGAGTAGGTGGTAGTAGGTGGTAGTGGTAGGTTTTAACAGCCCCCCGCAAACTCAAGGAGGAGAGACACAAATCAACTTGAGTTTGGAAAGAGTAACAAAATAAGAAAATAGACTAATACATAAAATAAAAGAGGATAGGAGACACTGTATGGTCGTGTCAGACCGTTGGTGAAGACACTGTATGGTTGTGTCAGACCGTTGTAGGAGCTAACCGGAATCAATGTCGGGACAGTTTATGGGGTCATGCCGGACCGTTGTAAAAGCTAACCGGAATCAATGTCGGGACAGTTTTATGTGGTTATGCCGGACCGTTGAAAAGTCGCACCCTCAAAAGGTGTGCCCAATCTTTCAAAAGGCGTGCCATCAAAAGACGTGCCCAATCCATAAAAAGGTGTGCCGGACATTATGGTGATGCGCGTAACTACCTTGGCTTGCGCGCCCATGTTGTCGCCTAGCGCCGAGCGGCGCACGATGCGCGTGTCTGCCTTGGCTATTTAACCAAGACGGAGGCTGAGGCTGAGGCTAAGGCTGAGGCTGAGACAAAAACCTGCTAAAAACCTCTGAAAAACTCTTCGTTTTCTGAGAGAGATACTCTATAACATCTGAAACACTCAGCAACCCATAACATGACCTCTTCTTCCCGTCCAGCTACCCAGAACATGGCCTCTTCTTCCCATGGTCTGCTCACTCTTTTTCCCGACCTCAACGAGTCCACAAGAGAGATAACCGGGGCAGTTTCCCTTGAACCTCAACCAAGCGCCCCTGGGTTTGCTCCGTTGAACTTTCCTATGCGGTCTGTGGAGCAAAGAATGGTAGTGCAATCGGATATTGAGGCCAATCAGTATACATTGAAGTCATGCGTGGAGACCATGACTGCGGTCACAAACTTGTCGCACCGGCTTCAGAGTAGGACAAATGAGGTGCAGCAGTTAAACGCCCAACTGGCTCTGCTCCAGCGCATGTATAAGGATGCGCGAGCAAAGATAAGTGTGTTAAAGGCGAAAAACAAGGAGCTGAAGCGGAAGGCCACCGTTATGTTCCGATTTGGAGGTCCGCCATATGCTGCAGTGGAGGAGCAGGGGGAGTGAACGTGCTCGGTGGATTAGGAAGCACGGAGGCAGCACCGTCAAGGGCCGCCCAGGACGGAGACAAGAAGAAGAGACCGGCGGCAAAGTAGAGTTTTTGTTTGTGATCGGGTTTGATCTCGGCAAGAAGAAATGACAGTTTTTTTTTTTTTTTGTAACTCTTTGGTGAGAACGCGATGGAAGTAGATTTCTGAGATGAATAAAACAAGGTTTGGTGTGCAAAGCTATATGGTATGAATGGAATTTGAAAAAAATTAAAAATAATGTGAAAGAAAAATAAAGAAAGAAATAATAAGAATATATTTGAAATCAAAATGAAAGATGGGGGAAATAAGGAAAGGGGTTCACGTGGTTTCTTGGCCCACGGTTTTGTTAAAATCGGCAATGGTGTTCGATATTTTTTTTTTTAATAATAATAATAATAATAATATATTAATGGGGAAAGCATGTGCGCTGGTGGGTTGGAAAGTGAAAAAATGTGAGAGAGAGAGTGGGGTACACGATGATGATGATGATGATAAAATGAATAAAAAAATTGATTTTGTATAATGCTGTGGCTTTATTCAAAAAGTGAAAACTTTGTCCCTGAGTTTGTTTCCATTGAGATAGCATCTTGAGCAAGCTGAGAAGGTGATTGTTGGAGTGATGCCTGTGAAGGCTACGTCTGCGAGGAAGACAATGGAGTCTGAGGGTGTAGCTGTAGGGAAGATGGCAAGTCTTGTGGCGATGGAAGTGGCTTCTCTTTTCAATGGATCATCTATGCCTCCTTATGATGTTCCATTTTCTGGGGGTTCTGCATATCATTACAACTATGGTAGCCACCTTTCGGGAGGCAGCCCATATAGACCTCTGCATCTATCTGGTCCAACACCATATTCTAGTGGATCGATGATGGGAAATGGTGGGATGTATGGTATGCCACCCATGATGGATCGCTATGTCTGGTGGAGGTCTCCTCGGCCTGTGCTCATTGTACGAAACAGATCTTTCCACTTGTGCAGGAGTAGCCATGAGCGTGGGAGATTCAAAGAGGTCCAAGTAAGGAAGATTATCAGAGTTGGAAGCTCGGTTCAGGAGCTTCTCCGGCTACGTTGCGGCGACGGAGGCGAGCTTCGTGAGAAATGAGTCCTTAGGGTTCACTGGAGGCATCAGAATTTTAGCTCCGTTTCTGCTATTTATGGCACATAGGGTCTGAATTGAACGATGTTTCAAGGACTGTGATGAAGACGAAGAAGGAACTGAAGTAGCCATCGGAGCTCGCAGTGAGGTCGCCATCTTTTCTGAAAACCCAGAAACAGACCAAGGAGAAGAAGGAGAAGATGAAGGGTTCATGTGAAACCCATTGTTGGGAATGATGATTCTTGGCGAGGATTGGAGAAATGGATTGGGTCTGTTGTTGTTGTTGGGGTTAGACATGGGATTGAAGGGAGAAAGAGAGGAGGGTGTTGAGGGTGTTGAGGGTGTAGACGAAGTGTTCGACGAAAGTCCCAACCGAGTTTTGGCTTGGCTGATGAGGGATAACAAGAGGGTCTCAGGTCCACAGGCTAAGTGAATCATCTCCTTCTCACCAGGTTCTTGAATGAAGATGTAACCCATGATCTTTGAAGCGTTTTCTGGATCTAAACTCCGGCAACAACTACCACCACTGTCGTCGGAGAGAGTGCGGTGGCTGGAAGGACGAATAGGCGTCGGAGCTGCAACCTATTCTTGTGGGACTTGAGGTGTCTGGAGGTGAAGTGGGTCTTGTTGTTGAGCATACAGTGGTGGTGCAAAGGCAAGGCTTTTGCTCCTTGATCTTAGAGCAGCACAGCTTTGATGGAGGTGTGTTTGATGTGATTGCACCCACGCAAGAGCTCAGCACTGTTGGGTTGCATGCCACTGCCATGGAATAGGTTGAGGTCCGGCGGGCGGCCAAGGCGAGATTGCCGCCCGCCAGTGAAGCAAAATTACTAGATTCTTAACCTTGCTCTGATACCATGTAAAATATATTGATAGAGAGAGAATAAATTGTATGTATTATAATTGATTGTATTATTGAGTTGTGTTCAATATGTTTACAATGATTCCTATATATAGAAGAGTAGAGTAGGTAGGTGTGTAGTAAGTGGAGTAGGTGGTAGTAGGTGGTAGTGGTAGGTGTGTAATAGGTGTAGTAGGTGGTAGTAGGTGATAGTGGTAAGTTTTAACAATCACCACATCCACCACACCCCACCGCCATTAGTACATTAGTTTTACGGACACAATCAAAATAGGAAAATGTTTTCTATGAAAATATTTTCAAAAAAAAACTGGTAGCAAATATTTTTTACTAAACAAACCAAAAGTAACGGTTCGCTCAAAAAGATGACGTGTAATTTTGTTCATACATATCTATCTTTAATAAAGTAAGGAACAGCAAAGTGTATTGTTCCATACAGAAATGCTTCTTCTTCTTCTTCGAACAACACAAAGAAAGAAGTAACAAAGAAGATAACAACAAAGTATATTCGGGTTCTCACAGTAACGGTTCGCTCAAAAAGATGACGTGTAATTTTGTTCATACATATCTATCTTTAATAAAGTAAGGAACAGCAAAGTGTATTGTTCCATACAGAAATGCTTCTTCTTCTTCTTCGAACAACACAAAGAAAGAAGTAACAAAGAAGATAACAACAAAGACGAAAGCAGTGATTTACACGAATCTATGAGGTTTCTTGCCACTTTCCCAAACGTTCGTGTATAAATCCATCATCATTGTTAATAAATTCTTCAAGTTAGTTCATATATTTTTGAGGCCATAGTTGAATTTTCTTCTGAGCCAAACAATGGATCATGGAAGTGGTTACTCAAATCCTCATTGGAGGGCTGTTGTAAGTAAAATTTTGTCCTCTAATCCTTTACTTATTTATTGTTTTTTACAGTTCGATGTAAATTTATGAATGTATTACTTTATGCATCATATTGCAAAATGAGCCTAACTTTGTGCATCAAAATTAAATAACCTTTCGTTTGTTTCAACAAAAATATTTTTTAACAAAATATTTTCTACAGAACTTCTTCCAGAAATTGTTTTTCGCAAAAAACATTTTTATATGTTTAGTTACAACTTTAAAACTTATATGCTAGTGATGGTGGGAAGGTCGTGGAGGTGGTGGTAGGTGGTGACAATTATTGGTAATGTTTTTAGTTCGGAAAATATTTTCAATCTTTCAAAAGTAGAAAAATATTTTTCATCCAAATAAGTTTGTTTTTCGTTGATCAATAAAAATAATTTTTTTGTTAACTTTCATTTACCATCATACCAAACCTCAAAAAAAAAATATATATCAAAATATCAAAATATTTTTTCACCAAAAGAAGCGGAGCATCATTAGTCTACTGGGAATTTTTTTGAAAACGTTGACTGAAAAACAAGATGAAACCATTTTATATCTCCATGCATAACACATCACAATTAAATGCAAGTTCATGTTATTAATTCTTTTTCTTTAAAGAAAAAGAAAACAATTCACTCATTTATTCATCCATATTTGATAGGATTCACCTTTGATCAAAAAAGACCCGTTTAACGTCCCTGCCAGAGGATTAAACATCGTGTGGGGGAACGACTCACGTTACTGGCAATGGAACAAAATCAAGGAAGAGGAAAGGTGATAAACATGTTTGATCATAATTTCTTTTTAGATTATTACATGTATCATATAGTGTACGTTTGTCATAGCCATTTATTTGCATAGATTTGCACCCAAGGATCATCATTTAGCTCAAAGTCTCGCAACCTTGCTCAGGCTCATATACCGGACAAGCTGGGCTAGTCTGAATAAGACTTGTAGCTAGACATGGGGCTAGATCTTGAAGCTCTGTCTGGCCATTTGCTTGTGAGAGGTGATCGTCAGCCTAGCCCAGGAACAAAAATATATGAAAAAAGTAAAAAATATATTTAAAAAATAAATAAATAAACCCCATTGGGCAAGGCTTGAATCTATGGTTTTTGATCCCGGACCACACTAGAAAAAAGCATGATAGGCTTAGCCCACGAGCAAGCTTGGGTAAAGATTTTACGAGTTGGGCCACTCCAACCCAATGCCAACCCTTATGTTGTAGCAAAAAAGTAATAATAATCTTCTTTTTTTTCTTGGTGTATTCAGGAAAATCCAAGCTGAGGAAGTCGCAGTGCTGTTACAAGTAAACTGGCTTGAGGTCACCGGGAAAATTGATTTGAATAATTCCTTTGTGGCAAATCAAGCCTACACAATATACTATGTCATTAAGTTCCGAGCCGATGCATTTGGCTGGCATTCAGCTCCGATCAAGTTCAAGGTTCGAGTTAATGGAGAAGAAACGGGGCATGAAACCCGTGTATTGGAGTCCTACAGGGTGAAACATGATGAGTGGCATGAGGTCCCAGGGGGAGATTTCGTAGTGCCAACCAAGGCAGAAGGAAATGTTGAATTTGGAATGTTTGAGACTGATAGTGACTGGTGGAAGGGTAGTATGGTCATTGCAGGTATTAATATTAAGGCCAAAGCATGATGAGAAAGGGGGGCTTTTGTTATTGTTAATGTTAAAGAGTGTGTTATGAAGTTCATAATAACTAAGTTTGCTTCTTCATGGGATTTTGTTGTTCTTTTAGTTGTGTGAAATCGTGTTCGCTTAAAAAAATTTAACAAAAAAAAAAATGTTAATAAATATTTTCTCGTAGGACAAATAAAATTGTTTATTTTGGTTCTTGTATGTATTTTATATGTGGTATGAAGCCACTATGGAGGCCCCTTTTTGTTCAACACTCTATTGATATTTCTTTTGATGAATAAATGTTACGCTGTTTCTCTCTCCCCTCTCTTCTCACTTTCTTAAAAGGTCAAATTTGATAATAATAATAATAATATTGGTAAATAAAATTTTATTGATGCAAATAAAAAAGTACAAGTTGTATAACTAGATAATATCAACAAAAAAATGCTTATTCAATAAGTGATTGTATCGTCTTATTTTAATTATTCTCTACATGTGTGACAGTATCAACAATTAATGAATAATTTAATATTATGTAGTGAGACTATATAGTTGGATTAGTGAGAGAGAGAGAGAGAGAAAATATTCATTTACTTTCAAATACGATATTTTATTTATCAGTGTTACTGTTACATTTAATATTTGTTCTATCCACAAGCACACAAAAACACCCAAGAAACGAAAAGGCTTGGTTTCGATTGTGAAGCAAAATAAAAATGAAAAATGAAATTTCTTATTTCTATTAATAGTTCATAACTAAAAAGAATATAAACTTTTTTGACAAATATTTATTCATTTTCCTAACTCAACAATTTTCGTTTAAAATAATTTTTATACAATTATTATTTGTCCCTTTTTTTATTGATGTACTCTTGATGAGCCTTTGTAATCTATTTTACATCAATAAATTTTCTTTTTTCCAAATTGGAAAAAAAAGAAAAAAAAAAAGAGAAAGAAAAGAATTACTTCTATCAAACAATTATACACTGACAAGTGTTAAATTAAGACATGCTTAGAAGTTTAGGATTTAAATTAAAATTTTCAGCAATGCTAGGGATCATGAAAAGCCTTTCATGAAAATGATCATGAAAGATTTGTGACCTTTGGATTACACTTAGAATAAAGCAACCACACACTAATCACAGTAATCTAAGGGTCACAAATCTTTCATGATCATTTTCATAAAAAAAAATTCATGATCCCTAACATTTCCCTAAAAAATTAAAAGGTTAAGATTTTGTTTGTTATTAAGGTCATACATCAGGGTTTTTTTTGTAAATTTCGTCCCTTCATTTTATTTTTGGTCAATCGGCAGGAGGTAAATTACAACATAAGAAGAATTACTATCAAATTGACTTTCAATTATGAAAGAATGTTTAAAATAGAGGCACAAGCATACAACAACTGAAACAAACCCAATAAACACTTGAAATTGAATACAAATCTCTAGCCAAGGTAATGAATTGGAAGTCTCAAAATATTCACAATCTTCAAACTTTCGTTTTGACAAATTTATTTTTGATGTCATGTATATTTTCAAGATATATATATATATATATATATTGCAAAGAAAACCATCAGCACGCCATTTTGGAGAGAGAAAGAGAATATTTTTGGTATAAATTTCCAAAAAACTTCTTGTTTTGAATGTAGTCAAGAAATTTCTCTACTAAAAATTTATGTGGGCGTGGTTTTTTGTAGTGGTTTAGAAGGAATTCAACCTACAAATAAATTTCTTTGTTATCAATAGAGCAAGTTCACTATTCAGTATCAACGAAATTTCTCCTTCAATAATTATGCTAAGCTTAAACAATTTATCGGTAGAGAAATTTATTTGTCATCAATCATACCAAAAAGTTAAAAATTCTTTTTTCTCTCTACTTTTTGCACATCTTTTCGTAAAAAGTCAAAAAGTCATCCCAAACATACTAGTTTTTTTTAGCTCATATTTTAGCCAAATAAAAAAAATTCACTATCTAGTAACTTAGTAATCAATTGATATAACAGAATTGATCAAAAAATATTTATATCATTGACCCCACTTAAATAAAACAGGAGACTTAGGCCTTGTTTGGGAACTCTCATTTTTAGTCAAAAAGTTACTAAATTAGTCAAAAAGCCAACAACCCATACCAAAAAGCCAAAAAAAAAATTTTATCTCTACTTTTTGCACATCTTTTCGTAAAAAGTCAAAAAGTCATCCCAAATATAATAGTTTTTTTTAGCTCATATTTTAGCTAAATAGTCAAAAAGTTACTAAATTAGCCTGTTCCAAACGAGGCCTTAATTTGGTTTAAGTCCCTTTGATCCTTTTAGGCATTTATACCTAAGAAATGAAGAACATGTAATACGCTATTCTCAATGAATGTAATTTTGAATTTTAGAATTAGATATTTGAAGATCTAATCTTTGGGAATTTCCAACTCATTTTAATTTTGCATTTTGAGTTGCTGCTGCTGTCATTTGCTCTGCTTTGGTTTGTTGCTCTTTTTTTAAGGCTGTTGATGGATTTGGATTTGGATGGCTGCTGTTAGTGGCTGCTGCTAGTGGATGGCAGATGTGCTGTCTACTTGTTAGTGATGCTGCTGCAAGGATTTGGCTTATTTGAGTATCAATAATGCTGCTGCTGATGGCTGGGTTGTATTGGTGTTGTTACTTTTGATCTATTTTGTGGATTTTGTTCTGTTTTTGATTGATTGCTCATCAACTTGATGCAATGTTGTTGATGATTGGACTTGTTTTATGGTTACCAACTCAGTTGGAATCATATTACGTTGCTATGATGTTTGTGTATCTATCCTCTTTATTGATGTATGGTATAATTTATTATTCATCAATAAAATTCTCTCATTTTTTTTTTTTTTTTGCTAATCAAATATAAAATAATGAAATATAAATTACACCCCTAATGTAACTTGACTAAATCATTTTATTGTTGTGTGTCATAATAAATACAACAATGCTAAGTGCACAAAAAATATATGAATGGACAAAGTCTTACGAGATTTGTTGGTGGAATCCACTCCTCAAAAAAAATTTATTTTTTATCAGCTTCAAAAATTTTATCTTTCATCTATCTATTTGTTTTATGTGTCCGATTCTCTGTTTGTTTGGTTTTTGTATTCGTGGTGCATTATGATGAGAGTACGCATTCTCTCATAGTTGCCATCCTTTGCAAGAGAGATCCCAAGAGCATCTGATCTTCCACTGAAAAAAAAAAGCAAGATGCTCATGATCTCTTAGCACCACTTTGTGATAAGGAAGGAATAAATATAGCATCAAATATGTTATCAACAAGGCCAACAATGTGGTGTCCATGGAATCACATCTTTTGTGATGAATGACATATCCACTTCAATTGAAGATTTTTAACAATTACACTTGCAAGGGCATCTTGTAGCATTTGTTAGTAGTTATCATATACCAAAATAGAAAGGGCTAATTATAAAAATATTTTTCAAAAAATATATTGTGCAGGGAGCAAATATTCTGGGGAGCCCATACTCCTTTCTTTCAAGCTCCGTTTATGTCCGATCACCTGCGAGCAAATAACGGTGAGCTGCCCGGCGGTGTGTGGCCGGAGAAACCCTCCGACGATCAAGTTAGCACACACCTTAGGATAAAGAGAGAGAGAGAGGAGTGTTAGAGTGTAGGAGTTTTCTTACAAAGTGTTCCTCTGCTGCGAATGGGGGGCGCAGATATGCTTATATATCCTCTGCGCCCCATATCCACTCCCAGTCATCTCCTAACACGTGGCTCCGCTATCCCATCTGTCAGCGTAAACCTTACTGAACATCACCTAATCTCAACTGCCTGCCTTCTCAGCTGGAGCTCGGCAGCCGAGCTGCTCCATCCTCGGCCTTGCTGTGCTTCATACCCAAGCACTCTACTGCCTAAGTCTAAAGAAGACCGGGCGACGCGACATCTCGGCAAAGCCGAGCCCGGGGCACTTCCTGGGGTCGGCCTTCCTGCCGATCAAACAATTACCTCGGCTGACCACGCCTTTCCGGGCGCCGGTCACTCAGCTTGACTGGCTTCCTCCATCCGCTGATCAAGCAGCTCGGTTCAACCGAGCACTTCCTTGCCGGGCAACTACTTTACGATCAGGGGCGGCACATACTTGGCCCAACTCTTGCCCGGCCCAAGTTCTGGCAGCCCATCTCCGGGTGGATCGCCGGCCATCTCGGCCCCATGCACCATTAGGCTCTCAACCTGCTCAGCCGTTACCTCGGCCCAATTCCAGATCATAAATCTCCCTCTCAATTGCCCCTTAATTCCGTCCGCGAAAGCGTGACTGGGATTATTCACTTCAACCGGGATAACCACTTCAACCGGGATAACATTTCTTCGGTCTTCAAAATGCCAAAGGGCGACCGGGCTAGTTAACATTACTGTCGGCAAACTTGCCCGGCTATCTTCCTCGGCTGAGGTCCTCTTCTTCCAAAGTAGCCCGGTTGGCCCCTCGACTCTTCAACCTGTCTCTTCAGTTCTGACGTCGCCATAAATGGGGACACATGGCGGGCTGCCATTGGTCCTCGAGCAGCCAACCCACCGTTTTTGCCAGAATTTGAATTTGGGCGGTTTTCTTCGTCTATACATACAAGACTCATTCATCATCATTTTCCCCCTACTGACATTCTGCAACCCGACTTGCCAGAGCTCTAGCGTCTTCCTCCAAGCCTCGCTTGCCATTCTTTGCGTCCGTGTTTGAAGGAAAAGCAGTTGCCCCTCACTAGTAAGACCTTCAATCCTTCTTTTGTTGCTATCCTCTTAATATTTCTCACATTAGGGCACTAAAACGTAGTTCTTAGGTCGTAGCCACAGAAATCGTTCAAAACTTGCTACTGTTCATGGTGTTCTTCGTTTTTCATGAAGAACATTGAAGAACTGGGGCAGACCGGGCTCCTGGTCTTCATTTGATCCAAAAAAACCAATCTAACCGAGCAAATAACATGTTTGTCTCGACCCCAACAAAAACCGAGATAACATAAGGAAATGGTCGCTCAACCGGGCTAACCACTTGCCTGCTTGGGCGACCGAGCTCTTTAGTTAGCTTAAAAGACCGAGGTGGTTTGGCACCCTTAATGACCGAGCTAAAGTCCAGCTCCTTCCGTGCGACCGCGCTCACACTTACACTTGCCATCCTTTTCCTGCAGAGTCCAAGGGGACCACTATCCATTCCTCAGGCTCTCAAGGCCGAGCAATTACTAATTGCCACTGTGTCAAACACCTCAGCCGAGCTACCTCAGTCCGGTCACAAATGGGGAAATTCCGCTTCCTAGTGGATACTCCGGCCGCGCTAGCTGCATTCAGAGAGGAG